GAAAATCTTCGAAATTGGTGGGCAGTCCATGTTGTTTCAAAATAGACCCACTCAGAAGAGCCTTTCAGGCTTGGCACTCTGGCTTAGATTTGGTGTTAATAGTGACCTACTGAGCGGATTAGCTGGAAATTTTCTGTCATCTGTTAGGCATAGCTGTGCTCATGTCCTCCTCGGTGGTGTTAAAAAACTACATGTTCTTTTGAATTTAATTCAAGTTAGTAAACATTTATTATTATTTTTTAAAGATTTTATTTATTTATTTGACAGAGAGAGACAAAGTGAGAGAGGGAACACAAGCAGGGGGAGTGGGAGAGGGAGAAGCAGGCTTCCCGCTGAGCGGGGAGCCTGATGCAGGCCCGATCCCAGGACCCTGGGATCATGACCTGAGCCGAAGGCAGACGCTTAACGACTGAGCCCCCCAGGTGCCCCAAGTTAGTAAATATTTATTGATATCCATCATGTAGAAAGCATTATACTAGGTGCTGGGGAAGATATGGATATGCAAACACATCACTAAATACATGAGAGATTGTGATGAATGATGTAGAGGTAGAAGCAAGTGCTGTGGCAGTATGGAGGTGGAGAGAGAGATGCAGATTTTCATTATGATTTCTTAGAAAAGAAATAGAGTCTCTTATGCTTTAAATTGTAATCAGTGAATAGTTCTAGATTAATTAGAGGACATATGGTAGAATTAAAACATTGAAAACAAAACATCAGTTTTGTTTTTTTATAGATGTGAGATATATAGAAAAGATGAATGAATTTTTCATTATTATTTTTCCATTGTTATGTATCTAGAAAAAAGTGGAGCCATTTGCCAGTGTTCTTCGTTTTCCATACCCATTCGTTTCAGAAACCAATAAAGTTGCTGTATTTACAGGGGTGAGTAACCTTTGTCAACTTTTCATATCATTTAATTTTTTGCACATATCACATTAATCAGTGCTTAGATTAACTGAATGAGTAGACTATTCACATAGTCTTGTTTTCCCCATTTGAGGCAGTTAGATGACTTATTTGAGGTTATGTCATTTGAGAAAGAGCTAAACTAGAATATTAATTTCATCATTAATCTACTACATTATGTTTCTCACAAGAAACTGAAGAGAAATAGAGAATTTGTCCTACTACCTCCTGCTTCCTACTCAGAGTACTCTCTTCAAACAAAAACAATGAAATTATTATTTTTTTTTAAAGATTTTTATTTATTTGACAGAGAGAGAGGAAGAGTGCATGTGTGCATATGCAAGCACACAAGCACCCAAGCAGGGGGAGCGGAGGCAGAGGGAGAGGGAGAAGCAGGCTCCCTGCTGAGAGGTAGCCTGATGTGGGGTAGGGCTCGATCCCAGGACCCTGAGATCATGACCTGAGTTGAAAGCAGATGCTTAACTGACTTTGCCACCCAGGTGCCCAGTAAAATTGTTTTAAAGCAATGGGCCCACTTAGTGCTGTGAAGACACAGAAACCACACTTAAAAATATGTAGTCTGGAAAACCAGGAAAGTCGAGGCTGTAACAAATAGAATCATATGGCTCTTTGTCAGTCTTTTTGTATTATAAACATTTGAAATGTATTTATGAATTTGTTTTGTAGAGTGTTTTGATTTTTCTGTATCTGCTTCACTTTCAAGGAAGAGATTTTTTTTTTCTAGAAAAGTGGAGAATATAGCTGTTGGAATGCTACAAAACTTGAGTGACTTAAGGGAGTGATATATTTTCACAGGGAAACCAAATGGCATAAAGGGAACATAGAAAATAACTAATACTGTATGTATATATATATTTTTAAAGATTTTATTTATTTATTTGACAGAGACAGCGAGAGAGAGAGAGAGAGCACAAGTAGGGGGAGTGGGAGAGGGAGAAGCAGGTTCCCTGCTGAGCAGGGAGCCTCATATGGGGCTTGATTCCAGGACCCTGGGACCATGACCCGAGCCGAAGGCAGATACTTAATGACTGAGCCACCCAGGCACCCCTACTGTATATTTTTCTTTTGAATTTTTAGACAACTGGCTAAATTTTTTTTTTTAAGTTTTTAATTCTAGTTAGTTAACATACAGTGTTATATTAGTTTCAGGTGTACAATATAGTTTTGATTCTAGCATTCCTTAAGTAATTTTTCCTTTTTGGTTTGATGTCTCCATTTAAGTTAGCAAAACTAAATATATCTTAATCTTTTACTTTTGGAAGATGATGTATTGAAGGCATTGAAGAATTAGATTGAGCCACTTCTTAGGTTCCTAATATGTCATTTCAATGTATTTCCTCATGTGTTAGTCAAGAAACACCTTAATCAACTACAAAGTAAACTTGTTCAGTATACAGTATCTCTGATGCATCTGATTGAGAAATGATGCATTTTCAGTTAAAAGTAAAAACCACAATTTTTATTTTGAACTGTGATATTATTTCTTACCAAATACTTGAAATCAGACTGAATTTGTTTAAAGATTGATATTCAAACTATTGTATTTTTATAGAATGCATCAGAGATTAAAATAGCAGAAGAAAATGGAGCTGCATTTGCAGGAGGAATTAATCTAATTCAGAAGGTACAGTGTTGTTTTCATATTCATTAGTAATAGAAATTGTTCTCTTATCTTTGCCATCCATTGATTTATTTCACGTGGAACATAACCACCATGCCTGTATCTTTTGACAAATGGTTAGTAAAGCTTTGTAGAACAGGGAAAAATTTTCCTGCTCTTTTGAGTCTCAAAATCAAGCTAAGAAAAAACTATCCAGACAGTCTGATATTAATTATGCTTGATTTACATCATGATTTTTTTAACCCCTTGCTTCCTATATGTTTGTGAGAGTTTTTATGGGTAGACTGGGAAGGGCAATATGACTCTCTGTGGTTTTGAATGTGAGATTTAAAATGGAATTTAAAAGGTAGCACTCGGGCGCCTGGGTGGCTCAGTTGGTTGAGCGACTGCCTTCGGCTCAGGTCATGATCCTGGAGTCCCGGGATCGAGTCCCACATCGGACTACCTGCTCAGCGGGGAGTCTGCTTCTCCCTCTGACCCTCCCCCCTCTCATGCTCTCTCTCTCTCTCATTCTCTCTCTCAAATAAATAAATAAAATCTTTAAAAGGTAGCACTCATGAATATCACTGTTCATGTTTTGAAGGTCAAATATTTGTTTTACCTTCTTGGAGTGAAAAGTGTGATTAACTTTACAGATCACAAAGGATAATATCTGACCTCTGTAGTAATACAATACTTCTGATTACTCTTAACTTTTACTCTCCAACCACTTCAGAGTGGCATAGACTCAGCATGAGGCAACAAGTGGTTATGTAGCCTGTGTTAAGAAAGTAACAAAGAATTTGTGGAGCTTGTTCGCAATCAGAACAATGTTTTTTTGTTTTATTTTGTTTTTTAAGAGGGAAGAAGAGGCATGTCTGTTGAATTTTGGGCGTTATTTCTGAAAATACGAATTTCTAAAGTCTTCTAAATTTAATTGTTTAAGTTATAGAATACCTTTTTGTTTTTAGAACAGGAGAAAGTGATTTGAAAATTTCTCTTTGCTCCATATCCAGATTTTGATTTGGGGAAAGTTTGAACTGGGCCCTTCTTTGGGATGTACAAGAGTGCTTGTAGTGTGTTTTTTTCCACCCCAATAGTACTCTAAATGTGGTGGGGATTCCGGATTTTTTTTTTTTTAAAGATTTTATTTATTTATTTGAGAGAGAGAACATGAGAGGGGGAGGGTCAGAGGGAGAAGCAGACTCCCTGCTGAGCAGGGAGCCCAATGCGGGACTCGATCCCAGGACTCCAGGATCATGACCCGAGCCGAAGGCAGCCGCTCAACCAACTGAGCCACTCAGGCACCCTGGGGATTCTGGATTTTTTTTTTTTTTTTTTAAAGATTTTATTTATTTATTTGAGAGAGAGAGAATGAGAGAGAGAGAGCACGAGAAGGAAGAGGGTCAGGGGGAGAAGCAGACTCCCTGCTGAGCAGGGAGCCCGATGCGGGACTCGATCCCCGGACTCCAGGATCATGACCTGAGCCGAAGGCAGTCGCTTAACCGACTGAGCCACCCAGGCGCCCGGGATTCTGGATTTTTAAGGAGAGTCTCCAGAATGATTTTTGGGAGTAGCACTAATGGAAAATACAAAGAGATTATGCTTTCATGCAGACTCTGGGTTAAAGTCAGAGGGTGGTACCCAGTTGTTTCTGATGTATCATAAGCTTTAATTTAATAAAATCATTAAAATTCTTTTAATTTTTAAAAAATAAGCAATACCACAATTCTTTGGAATTAGAGAATAGAGCTTAGTTTCTGGAGCCAGAGAACTAACTATTCTTATTAAATCAGTGTACCGCCTTCCATCTGTTTTTTTTTTTTTTTTTTCCTGAAAGCATAAGAGTGTCTTGTAGAACTGTCAAAACAACAATAGAGTTTAAATGAAGTTAAATGTTAAGCAAGAAATTACTTCTCAAGAAAGAAATGGTAAGGGAGCAGAAAGTCTTCTATAGAATTAAGTTTATTAAATAAAACATATTTGAAAAAGTAACCCAAATAAGGAAACCAAGTATATTTTGAAATTATTTGGTAAATAAGATGTTACAGTACAGAATTTCTCTTTAAGGGTGCCAGTGGTGATTGATTACTAGAGGGAAAATGCCAATTGTATAAGGCATCACTAACATATTCTTGCAAGTTACCCCATGGAATCTTTCAAAGCTTATCCATGATATTTTATTTTTTTAAATTTTTTAAAGATTTATTTTTTTTACCTGAGAGAGAGACAGAGAGTGCGCACACAAATGGGGAGAGGGGCAGAGGGAGAGGAAGAATTTTTAAGCAGAGTCTGCCGGAGCTCAAGACCTGAGCCAAAACCAGAGTCAGCCGCCCAACTGACTGAGCCACCCAAGCGCCCCTCATCCATGTTATTTTTAGAAGCTATTCAGATTATGAAATAATTTCAAGACACTTTTGGTAGATAGTATCATGGCTGTAATTTTTTTTTTTTTTTTTTTTTACACATTTCTGTACTTTTTAGTTAGGTTAAATACTATTTTACTTAGCACTTATAGAAGGTAGATGTAGGGTAAATTTAATGAACTAATAGTCATTTCTTAAATTAGGCCTTTAATAAATTCATTTTGTTTCATAACTTCATTTTTACTTGTCTCTAAAGCATGGTTTTCATTTATATAGTTTTGTATTATTCCAAGAGGTGATCTTAAGTTTAACTTTAACATAACTTTTAAACAATTTTAAATTTAAAGGAGCATGTCATAAAATCCGTCTTAAAAGGTCTTAGAGTAGAAATTTCACACGCAGTTCTTTGACATTTCAAAATTGCCTCTGTTTTCATATTTCTATGTATAAGAGCCATTGCAGGGACGCCTGGGTGGCTCAGTCGGTTAAGCGTCTGCCTTTGGCTCAGGTCATGATCCCAGGGTCCTGGGATCGAGTCCCACATCGGGCTCCTTACTGAGCAAGGAGCCTGCTTCTTCCTCTGCCTGCTTCTGTCTCTCTCTCTCTCTGATAAACAAATAAAATCTTAAAAAAAAAAAGCCATTGCATGTGTTTGAAATCTGGATTTGCTCTTTATAAGTGCACAGACTGACTAATCTGTCCTAAGCCCTCAGTTTCCTGATCTGGGATGTGTGGTCAATATTAGTACTGGCCTCATAGGGTTATTATAAAGACTGGATGAACTAAATCATTTGACATGTTCAGCAGAATGCTTGGTCCATGTGGTAAGTGCTCATCTAATGCAAGTTGTTACTATTAAGGGGACCACAGTAAGCTATTTAGGGAGTGAAGAATTTGGAAAAATAAGAATAATAACAGGAAGGTTAAATTCCAGAATCACTGCTTAATTTTGCCATGGTACAAGATGTTAGGGTTCACTGTGTAACACCAAACCATGTCTTTGAATGACATATTGTGGTAATATTATATGCAAAAAGAATCATTGGTAAAATATTTGTTGTCCAAGCAGTGTTATTGTAAAAAGTTGCTTTTTTGTAATCAACTAAATGTTTTTGTAATCATTTTGTAATCAACTAAATGTTTATATGGAGTATATTGTAGTAGTCTAATAATTATTTCGGATGCTTGCCTGAATTAATTAAAACTGTCTTTTAAAAATTGGATATTATTCTTTTTGCCATTAAAATGGAATTAGAGTGTGGATAGATAAATTATAAATGAATTTGTCTTTGACCATCCCACTCCTCTTTTATTTTTAGTTATTGGAGGCAAATAGAATTTTAGTTTCAGTTCTTTGTGAAAATAATTATAGATTAGTTCTCTTGATGCTCTAAATTTAGGAAAGCAGTGTGGTTGCTAGTGATTTGGTTGCTAGTTTATTTGAGTGTTATTAATTTAACATATATTGCAAAATTTTCAGCATTGTTTCTTCAGTTTTAATGGACATATGAATTCAACTTTGTAGGATTATATGAGCCATGTATACACATCAGTGCTATCTTCTAGTTGATAACACCTTTGCCTAACATAACCCCACAGAAGAATTAAACCCAGTAAATGGGTTTTGTTTTGTTTTTTTTTAAAGGATGTGGCTATTTTTAAAAGAGAACATCAGAAAATGTTTTGGTTCTAATGGTTTTCATAATTGGTAAATGTGTTTGTAGGATCTTTGAAGGAAAGAATTGTGCTTAATGTCTGTTTTCTAAATTATAAGGGAAATTACTACATTATACTTTATTTTCAGAAGGATAAAGCTTTTCATATAATCTAAGGTTATCTTTTTTCCCCTGATTTTCAGATTTTGGATGATGAAATTCAATCAGACTTTTATGTAGCTGTTCCAGAAATAATGCCCGAGCTTAATCAATTAAAGAAAAAGCTGAAAAAAAGATTTCCAAAACTAACTCGAAGTAAGGGAGAATTCTTTTTATACTTTTTATTATTTATTCTTTTTACTATTTTTGTATGCTGTCAACAACTTTCTAATATGTATGTTTAGTTATAAAACAAAACTGCTAATATATATGAAGAGTAAATAATACGTTCTGGTATTTGAATTTCATGTTGTGTAAGAACATGTGGATTTGATTTTTTTTTCCCCTTTGGCATTAATATTGGTGGTCTAATAATTTGAAAACCTAGTTACTTTATGTTCTTTAAATTTAGGCCATATTCAGGTTTGAAATTTAATGGCACATATTACCCATTATCATACTGTTTTATACTTCTTTATCAGTATAATATGTATGGTTATTTATGTCAGCATTCAACTTCTATATTTATATATTATATATATACACATTTATATACACACACACACATATATATGTATGTGTATGTGTATATATATATAAATGCTTATTGTGTACATGGCTCTGTAGATATTTCCTTTAAGGAACTTTTCCCTTATGGATATTTCCCCCTTAGGAAATGTAGTAGGAGGTAATGTTGCTACATAAATAGCCATAGTGTTAAGTATTATATGATAAATTCACAGGATGCCAAAGGTGTTTAGTAGAGGAGGACTTCACACATTGTTGGGGAAATCAGAAAAGGCATGCTGAAGGAGATAACATTTAAACTGTAACTTGAGGGGCACCTGGCTGGCTCAGTCAGTAGAGCATGAGACTCTTGACCTGGGGGTTGTGAGTTCGAGTCCTACGATAGGTATAGAGATTACTTAAAAATAAAAATAAAATCTTAAAAAAGAAAATAAACTGTAACTTGAAAGGGGCTCCTGGGTGGCTCAGTCGGTAGAGCATGTGACTCTTGATCTCAGGGTTGTAAATTGAAGCCCCACGTTGGGTGTGGAGGCTACTTAAACAAACTTAAAAACTTTACCTTGAATAACTGGATGACTGGATTGAGGGTATTATTTTATATAGAAGGAATCTATTAATGATATACATTGAAATAAGTCAGATATTATAGGCCATGTACCTATTATAGGCCAAATAATATCAGTTAATTCTCTTTGGTTTATAGTGAATGGCACCCCTACATTGAAATGAAAGAAAATAATGGGAATCATATTGGAAGATGGATACCATATTGAGAAAGATCTTGAATAAGATCCTAAGAAGCTTGGACTTTTATTCTGTTTTTAGCAGGAATCTCTTAGAAGTTTTTATTTATTTATTTATTTATTTTTTATTTTTTTAAAGATTTTACTTATTTATTTGAGAGAGAGAGCACAAGCAGGGGGAACAGCAGAGGGAGAGAGAAGCAGACTCCCTGCTGAGCAGGGAGCCTGACACGGGGCTCGATCCCAGGACTCTGGGATCATGACCTGAGCCAAAGGCAGCTGCTTAACTGACTGAGCCACCCAGGTGCCCCTCTTAGAAGTTTTTAAAATGCGGAGTTCCTTAGAGCTTTAATGTAGAGAGAATTTATAAGATGTATTGGCATTAATCAAAACTAGAAGTTGGGACACCAGTTTAAGTGCAATTGCCAGAGACTAATAAAGGTATTATTTAAACTAAAGTCTTCATAATGAGACTGTAGTAAGGCGATAAATGTCAAAGAGACTAGGTCTTTGTGCTACAGTTAGGAATGGACAGGTTGAGGGAGTGAGAGGCGGGGAGTCATATGATGCTGAGATTTTGAAGCCTAGGGATCTCCTAATAAGTTGATATTAATGGAAACAAGTAATAGATTCGGGAGGAAAAATAACTTCATTTGCTGACATTGTTTGTTTTGGGTGTGCTGAATTTGGGGTAAATTTTGTAGTATAAACAGAACAAGTATTTCAAATTGTTTTAGTAGATTCATGTTCAAATTTTAATTCAAGTTGAACTAATTCATCAAACATGATAGCCACTAATACTTAACCTGAATTATAGATCATGTTCTGTACTTTAAGCAAATTCAAATGTCCTCTCTGATTCTTTTATTGTTGTAGAATTTTATTTGTTTATTTTTGGTAAACTGCACTGAATAACATCCTTATTAGATATCTGACTGAGGTTTGGTACTTTTTGTTGGGGATATCCATTATGGGAGTATCTGTTGTCATGGAATCAGACTTATATTCTTTCCTAAGTAAAACATGAAACTGAACATTATTTTAAAATTTAAACCAGAATTACAGTTGAATTTGATGAAAATATTTTTCATAATTTTTTTGTGTCTAATTAAAATCAAGCTCTCTAAAACCAAACAATACTAAATATAGTCAATTAAAAGTGAAACTGAATACCAAATATATCAGTATCCCGTCATCTCCTTGCTTTACACAGTGAAATGATTTTTCATAGAAATTAACTTTGTCACCTTTGCTACTTTTCCATTCTCTAAATAATCTTTTTGGCCTCAGTTTTCTTTATTCTTTAGCCTTGAGTTTTTTTATTATTGTTTTCATCATAAAACTCGAGACTATTGTTTTTTAGCCTGAAAGGTTTTCAAATAATTTATTTTTTTATCTCAAATAAGAAAACTGTCCCTTTAAAATGTTTATTTTTTTAATTGACTTTACTTTATTTGCACTTTCATAATGAGTCATAGCTTCCGTATACCATGGTCAAGTTTCCTAGTTATGTAGTCCCCCTGCTTCCATTTGCTTTAACAAAGCATGAAAAAATAGACCTTTCTCCTTCTCTAACATTGTCTTTTCACCCCCCGCCCACCCCCGCCCCAGGATCTGTTTAACAGTACTGGCAAAACATTTGTGTTCTTTAAACATGAAGACAAATGATTAACCTGTCAAAAATGTTAAAACAGAATACACCAGATGTGCATTAGAACAAATGAGGCTTGTATTATGCATTTTCAGAGCTTATTCCGATTTTTGTTTAGGAACATTTGATTCCCCTTATATCCAACAAAAGACTTTAGGGTAAAATAGAAACTACGTTTTGAGCAAATGGATGAAATTAAAAAACAAACAAACAAGCCCCTGCAGCTGAGCTCATTAGTTTCCCATTTTGTCTTACATTTTGTTTTACTAATGGGAGTGGGTGTAACTATCTTGGCTGGATTGAGTGTGCACATTTTGCAGCATGTTTAATGCTGCATTTTTATTCATTTTATTTTAATTGCTTACGTAACTCTAGGCAAGTTCTCTATTTTTCAAATGCACATTTGGCTTCTTTTCCTAGTATTATTTCTTTTTTATTTTTTAAAAAAAGGGATTTAAAACTTGCTTTTTAAATTTCTTGGAAGAAATTGGGCTTCATTTTGCTTATCAACTAGCTTTTTTTCTTCCAATGTAAGTGTCCTCTGAAATTCTTTCATCTTTAATATAGATATGTTTTATTGATAAATTGGATTTTTAAATTGCTAACCTATCTTTTAGCACTTACTAAACAAAAAATATGAGTATGAAAAATATCTTGACTAATGGAATTAGTTTTTTATTATACATATTAACCCATGAATGGGTATTATGGCATATATGGAGAAAGTTGAATTCTTTTAAACCATGCTAAGTTATCGGCAGGTAGGTGGAAAAGGGACATTATTAGGAAATTGGACTCACTAATGTGTATTCCTCTTAATGCATAGAATTGAACATCAGTGCTCCAGTTGGAGTCTTGTCAAAAGGATGTGGTAGCAGTCTTGCCCAAAGGGTATCCATATCTACTGAGTAGGACACCGCTTTCTGTATGGAAGTTGGGGTTGTTAATCATATTTGAGACTAGTGGATGTGAACTTACTGAAATCTAATGTGAAATATTTTTAATTCATAGATTGACATTCTGTACTTAAAGAGTATTGCTTGCATTATTGAAATAATTAGAACTCTTTGGTTATATAAAGAAAAATACTAAGACATAGAGAATTTTTGCACAGTAATGAATTTGAAATTTTCCAAATTTCCCCCCTCACGTATTAGTTTAAAAACTATGTGTGTGTGAAAGACTCCAATGATTATTATGAATAATTATAATTATTAGAGATGAATTATTGATATATTACAGCTGGTTCTATTATTCTTTCCTTCATTTCCTTTACTCTAGCTATAGTGGCCTCCTTGTGCTTTCTCACACACACTAAGTGTTCTCTCTTCTCTGATCTTTGGACTTACTGTCCCATCTGTCTGTAATGCTCATTGCTTATTAGCTTGGTTCACTTCCTCATTCAAGTATCACCTAGACAGAGTGGCCTTCCATAACTCTACTATATAAACTATTATTCCCCACCCTCCCTTATCACTGTATTTTTCATTGTTGTGATTTTTTATATCTTTTAGGACTTAACACTCTTAGCGTCTTACTCTGGCAACCACCATATTGTTCTCGGTATTTATAGCTCTTTTTTGCCTTTTTGTTTGTTTGTTTTGTTTTTTAGATTACATATACAAGTAAAATCATATGGTATTTTCCTTTCTCTGACTTATTTCACTTAGCATAATACCCCCTGGGTCCATCCATGTTGTCACAAATGGCAAGGTCTCAGACTTGTTTATGGCAGAGTAACATTCCATTGTATATATATACCACACCTTTTTTATCCATTCATCTATTGATGGACATTTGGGTTACTTCTATATCTTGGCTATTGTAAATAATGCTGCAGTAAACATAGGAGTGCATATATAAATGTTTTTGAATTAATGTTTTCATTTTCTTTGGGTAAATGCCTGGCAGTGGAATGAATTACTGGATTGTATGGTATTTCTATCTTTAATTTTTTGAGGAACCTCCATACTGTTTTACACAGTGGCTGCACCAATTCACATTCCTACCAACAGTGTACAAGGGTTCCTTTTTCACTATATCCTCACCAGCGCTTGTTATTTTCTGTGTTTTTGATACTAGCCATTCTGGCCAGGTGTAAGGTGATGTCTCATTGCGGTTTTGATTTTCATTTCCCTATGATTAGTGATGTTGAGCATCTTTTCACGTGTCTTTTGGCCCTCTGCATGTGTTTTTTATAAAAATGCCTATTCAGATCCTCTGCCCATTTTTAA